TAAGTAAGGCTTACTGCGATTGCACCTTGAGTACCATATACAGCTGGTCTGCTCAGGTAAGAAATTTTATACTTTCTGTAGAGGGAATGCAACTAAGTTAAAACTGGATTGATTTCTGGGATCCAAGGTTTGTCTTACGATGAAAGATTGCTTGTACATTCTCTGGTGTTGAAAAGAATGAGAGGTGATCTCTTTGAAGTGAATCACGTTTTCATAGGGCTGGACAGGTTAGGTGGTGAGAGGCTGCTTCCTAGTGGCAGAAGGTCGAGAATTAAGCAATAGTCTCAGGATAAAAACTGGAGCTATTTGAGACTGAGATGAGAATGTTTTCACTAAGCTCGAATGATTCTAGTTCTCTACTCGGAGGGGTGTGAAAATACTCTCAGTATTGAATGGAACGTCAACTGAGATCAGTTTTTTGGGTACCACAGAATTAAGTGATACGTGAATAAGGCATGAAAATTGACCTGGTATTGAAGATTTTTCACAATCATGTTGAATGATGGAGCAAGTTGAAGGATCGTATGGCCTACCTCTGTTCCTATCTCTTACGTTCTTATTATGTTCTTGATTGTAAAGCTCCATTCTTAAACCACAGCTGTTTCATAACCGCTTTTTAGCAAATGAACAGTTTATATTTCACCTAGAATCTTATTTGAGCAGTAGGTATACAGGAGACATCAGCCTGTGGCTGACAGAAAAAAGGAACCTGCACTGGCTGTTGGTGTTGGACAGCTTGTCCATGCTTTCACTTCCTTCCTTGTTCTTTAATGAGAAGTAATTTGTTTGTGCCCAGCGGACTGAACTGAAACCTTCTGAGTTGGAATATTTTACCTCAGAGGGCTATAGATGCGTCATTGTTGGGTGTATTCATGGCTGACATGGTTAGATTTTTTGCATTCTTCGAGAGTTGAGCCTCAAAGTAGAGTTGAGGTTGAGGTTCAGCCATGGTCTTGTTCGATATGGAGCATGTTTGAGGGGATAAATGGCTGCTCATGAAGACATTCTGACTCAAAACATGAACAGTATTTCTCTCACCACAGATGTTGTTGGACCTGCTGAGTTCCTTCAGCCTTCTGTTCGTTCTTACTTCTAGTTCTCCTTCTGTTCAATTTCACCTGGCATAAAAACCTGCTCAAAAGCATCAAACACTTGGTTATCCAGTGTGTCCATTCCAGACAGAGTGGAACACCAGCCCTCTCCTTGCTTCCACTTTGGCACAAAGTAAAACTTTATGATAAGTGCATGGATAAGTGGCCACTTTGCTACCCAGGTTTTCATCAGCATTTCCATAATATGCTGTCTGAAGGGAGTAGACTCACTTGTGTTATTGGGGTGTTGACATTCTTAAAATACTTCAGACTATTTAACACTCGGCCAACACCCTGAAGGGAGTGATTTGCGCATCGTTAGAGGAATGTGTTTGGAGAAAGGGCATGCTAGAAGATCATATTATTAATGTAGTTCTTGCTCTGAATTTCTTGTTTGCAGTTCCACTCTGAATTCAGTATTTTAATCTCTACACATATATAAATCTTCCTTCTGTTTTCTGGCCACTTCTCTCAGGATGCTGCATTAATGGGGCTGAAATCAAGTGTGTGTTTCAAGCCAATTGGGGACAGATATGTCACTGTGTAATACTTCACCTGACAAAGGAGCAGTGCTCTGAAAGCTTGTGATTTCAAATAAACCAGTTCGACTATAACCTGATGTTGTGTGATCTGACTTTAGCAGATTTAGTGGAATTTAGAAAACTTAAGCTGTGTTGTTGTATTTCTGTAGCTCAGTGGGTAATACTAACCTTTTACAGTCAAAAGATTGTGGGCTCAAATCCTATTTCAGAGACCTGAGCAAAAAAGTCAAGTGAAGTCCCATGCTGTTAGGCATGTAGTTGTTTGGATTAGACACTATTTAGCTGTGAAAGATCCCATGGCACTCCTTTTTAAAAAAAAAAACAGGGGGAGTTTCTCCCTCCTGTCCTGCCCAATATTTATCTAGCAACTAACTGGCAAAAATAGTTTATCTTGGCCAATAACTCCATGTTTCTTTGCAGGAGTTTGCTGTAGTGCAAATTGGGTGCTGTATTCACTCGAGGTTAGGGGTGTGTGGTTTAAGCTCAGTTGGCTGGACGGCTGGCAGAGTAATGCCAGCAGCGTGGGTTCAATTCCTGCACCAGCTAAAGTTACTATGGAGGACTCTCCTCCTTAACCTCTCCCTTCATCTGAGGTACAGGCTGTTAGACTGGACAGGATTGAGGTTCATAAGGAGGAGGTGTTAGCAATTCTGGAAAGTGTGAAAATAGATAAGTCCCCTGGGCCGTATGGGATTTATCCTAGGATTCTCTGGGAAGCTAGAGAGGAGATTGCAGAGCCTTTGGCTTTGATCTTTAATCTTTATGTCGTCATTGTCTACAGGAATAGTGCCAGAAGACTGGAGACTAGCAAATGTTGTCCCCTTGTTCAAGAAGGGGAGTAGAGACAACCCTGGTAATTATAGACCAGTGAGCCTTACTTCGGTTGTGGGTAAAGTGTTGGAAAGGATGAAGAGATAAGATTTATAATCATCTAGAAAGGAATAATTTGATTAGGGATAGTCAACACGGTTTTGTGAAGGGTAGGTCGTGCCTCACAAACCTTATTCAGTTCTTTGCGAAGGTGACCAAACAGGTGGATGAGGGTAAAGCGGTCGATGTGGTGCATATGGATTTCAGTAAAGCATTTGATAAGGTTCCCCACGGTAGGCTATTGCAGAAAATACGGAGGCATGGGATTGAGGGTGATTTAGCGGTTTGGATCAGAAATTAGCTAACTGTAAGAAGACAGAGGGTGGTGGTTGATGGGAAATGTTCATCCTGGAGTTCAGTTACTAGTGGTGTACCTCAAGGATCTGTTTTGGGGCCACTGCTGTTTGTCATTTTTATAAATGACCTGGATGAGGGCGTAGAAGGATGGCTTAGTAAATTTGCGGGTGAACTAAAGTTGGTGGAGTTGTGGATAGTGCGGAAGGATGTTGCAGGTTACAGAGGGACATAGATAAGCAGCAGAGCTGGGCTGAGAGGTGGCAAATGGAGTTTAATGCGGAAAAGTGTGAGGTGATTCACTTTGGAAGGAGTAACAGGAATACAGAGTACTGGGCTAATGGTAAGACTCTTGGTAGTGTGCATGAGCAGAAAGATCTCGGTGTCCATGTGCATAGATCACTGAAAGTTGCCACCCGGGTTGATAGGGTTGTTAAGAAGGCATACGGTGTGTTAGGTTTTATTGGTAGAGGGATTGAGTTTCGGAGCCATGAGGTCATGTTGCAGCTGTACAAAACTCTGGTGCGGTCGCACTTGGAGTATTGCGTATAGTTCTGGTCACCGCATAATAGGAAGGATGTGGAAGCATTGGAAAGGGTGCAGAGGAGATTTACCAGGATGTTGCCTGGTATGGAGGGAAGGTCTTATGAGGAAAGGCTGAGGGATTTGAGGCTGTTTTCGTTAGAGAGAAGAAGGTTAAGAGGTGACTTAATAGAGGCATACAAGATGATCAGAGGATTAGATAGGGTGGACAGTGGGAGCCTTTTTCCTCGGATGGTGATGGCTAGCACGAGGGGACATAGCTTTAAATTGAGGGGTGATAGATATAGGACAGATGTCCGAGGTAGGTTCTTTACTCGGAGAGTAGTAAGGGCGTGGAATGCCCTGCCTGTAACAATAGTAGACTCGCCAACTTTAAGGGCATTTAAATGGTCATTGGATAAACATATGGATGATAATGGAATAATTTAGGTTAGATGGGCTTCAGATTGGTTTCACAGGTCGGCGCAACATCGAGGGCTGAAGGGCCTGTACTGCGCTGTTATGTTCTATGTTCATCTGAGGTATGGTGACCTTCAAGGTAAACAACCATTCGAGTCTTGCTAATGAGAGAGCAGCCCTCTGGTTTGCATTATGGCAACTTTTTAGCTTTATTATAACAGTGACTGCACTTCACAAGTACTTGTTTGCCTGTGAAGCAGTTGGGATGTCTGAGATTGTGAAAATGCTGCAGGAATCACAGTCTGCCGTTCCTTTTGCTGCACGTTCTATTTGGCGCATTTGATATCCTGAATCTGCTGGGGCTGAGGTTTGAGATTAGCATCTTGTTTTCAAGTGTTTACTGAGCAGTACCCTCAATTAATTAAGAAATGTACCCAAAATTCATATTCCATGGTTCACTGACCCTCAGCTGATCATAGATGTTTGCAAAGAACCCTGAATTACTGAGATAGTAGGAACTGCAGATGCTGGAGAATTACTGAAGTGAGTTTTACTTTTTATAAGTACAATAAAAAGCTTGCTGAAGGCCCTCTACTGCCACCTTGTGATGTTGCAATGTTATTGATGACCGCAGTTGTATTTTTTGAAAAGATGCTTTAAGGCAGTTAAGAAACAATATATGCCTTTGACATCCTGTGCACATCCCAAAGTGCTTCACAGACTATGTTTTATTTCTGGAGTGTACTCCCTGCTATGTCACAAAGTGTTGCAACCAAGAGCAAGGTTCCACCAACAGCATTGTACTAAATGATCAGCGGATCTGCTTCTGCCATGCTTGTGGGTTAAATGTCCGAGCCCAGAGAAACTGCATACTGATTTGTGAACAGTGCCACGGGATCTTTCAGCATCAACCTGGATTAATAATATTTCATCTGAGAGACAACCTCAGACAGTGCAGCACTCCTCCAAACAACACTGTCAGCCTGTGTCATAGGCTCAGATTTCTGGAATGGGACTGTAAATGCACAATTGTCTGTCTCTGAAATGAGAATTCTAACCACCCAGACATGGACATCCACAGAATAATGAAAAAAAATGTAATCATTAGCTGATATACCCAATAAGAAAGTGATTTTCATTTCAGCCAGTTTAGTTTAACACCAGTGACCCAAAAAAAGCTTCAAGTCTGTTTCCTTTGCTTTTTTTGTGTGTGCTTGTGTTGCTGTCTGTTTCCCTTGTTTACCTGTGAATAATTTCTCTTCCTTTAGTAGCTGCGTTTCTGAACACATTGACTCCGAAGTTCTATGTGGCATTAACAGGAACGTCCTCTCTCATATCAGGACTCATATTAGTAAGTATTATATCTGTATTTTTAAAAAGCAATTTTTTTCCATTGAATTCTGGAATTCTGCGCCTGGTCACTCTCCATTGATCCCTATTGGCTGTGGTCTCAAGCAAGGAACAATTCCCTGAGAAATTTCTTAAAAAAAAGGTCTAGATCTTTTAAAACATGTTTCCCATTTTGTTGAAGGCAGTCATCGTAAATGATCTTGCTTTATTTCCGATTATGCTAACTCATTGGCTTATATCTCCTATATCATAGTCGATTGTGAGGTGATCAGATCAAACCTCATTTTGGGTTGGAGTTGATGGGCAGATTATATTTCATCTGGTGACAGAATTGAGATGGAAGAAGTACAGAAAAAGTAGGAAGCATTTTCTCAGTGAAGTCTTGAACACTGTCCTCCAATAGATTGTGAATGAAGGGTGTCACTTGGTGTCTTCAAAACTGAGATTGGTAAATTGCTGTCAGATGTGGTTTTTATGGGACTGTGTTAGTATGGCATTTTCCAAACCCACAACCTCTACCTTCTAATAGGACAAGCACAGTAGATGCATGGGAACACCATCACCTGTAAGTTCCCCTCCGAGCTAATCATTATCTTGCCTTGGTATAAATTGACGTTCCTGCAGTGTCACTGGGTCAAAATCCCGAACTCCCTCCCTGACAGAATTGTGTCTATACGATTATGAATGTTTGTGATATTATTTGGAAGTTTGGGATCTAAAGTGAAGGAGCAATTCATGACTTTAATTTTGATTTGTATTACTATTTTGTGTGTTCAGGGGAGAATATGGTTTAAACTTTATTTTTGAATTCAGAGAGTGGTTATGGTATGTGTTTATATCCAAATAAATGAGGTATTTAAAACCCTGTGGTGGGAGAAATACTTCAGTGCATTAGCAACAAGGGAAGACTCTAACAGGAGGGGAAAATATGCTGCTACTAGATGACAGCAGCCCAGTATCATTGAAAGATGGAACTGTCTAGAAGGTCACAGTGTTTGCAGGTTGTCAGTATGAAAAGATGCTGTTAGCTTAGCCTCCAAAATGTCTGGGTTGGGGAAATTTTACTTAAGAGAAGAAAATCCAGAAATCTATGGATACAAGACAGTGGAGCTGAAGAGCTGAGCGAGTAAGAAGACTAGCCAGAAAACTGCTAGAAACTGAGATTATGGAAAACCCATGTGTTTGCTCTGATAGTGTCAGTAAGCAGATTGCTCCAGAAACCATTTACAGATATTCCAACTGGCCGAAGAACTTTTAAATGGAAACAGGGTGACCCTTCACTCAGGTTTGAGTATCTGTAAGGTTGCTGAGGGTAAAAGGGTTACGTTTCTGATATTTATAATAAGAGCATTTCAGATTTGTTTTATCGTACAATATAATTGGTGTTTGGGCATTCTCCATCACCCCCCCAATAAACACCCATTTTTCTGTAGTAATCTTTGTTCTTTTGTTAAAAGTACATTAGCAGCCTCTTGCGTATATGGTCAGTGACCACCTCGTAAGTGAACAGCAATAGTAAAACTTGTTGTTTATCAAACCAGGTTTCACTGTAGACTGTGGCTTGTCCAGTAATACCAGTATTTGGGATCCTAACTGTACCCTGCACAGAATCACAGATTTATTACGGTGTAGGAGGAGGCAGTTCTGCCCATCCTGTTCCACGTACACTGCAGCAGTTCAAAAAGGCAACTTACCACTAACCCTTCAAAGGTGATTGTGGTTCAAAAATAAATGCTTGCCTAGCCAGCAAATCCATTATCCGATGAACACTTTTTTTTTACATATTTTATACACATTTTATACAAATAAATCTGTAGTTGCACATAAGCGATGTTAGAGTAGGATTGAGGGTCTGAATGGCCTTCTTTTGCTGATAGCAATCAAAGGGAAATTGTCCGCCTGCCCTTTACCTATCAGAATAGATTAGGCAGCTCTGGAATGTGCAGTAATCTGAAGACCTGAGTGCCAAGGTGAGATGATTGGATCAGCTACATGTATGAATGGAAACCATTGTTGAAATAGTGCATAAATCATTTCACAACAAACAAGCTTGTCTGAAAAAGAAGAATGCAGGAGAGCAGCAAGCAGCATGTGGGAGAAATACATTAAAATTTGATGGGCTGAGTGGCCTGTTCCTGAGATGTGACATGCTACAATTCTACACAGCTGACAGAAATATACAGCAGTTACAACATGGAAACACGGCTAATTTTGCCCAACCAGTACACGTTATAAATTACCATCCTGGAGATATAGTTACTCTCTGTTAACTTGCCCTTCAACCCATTACCTTTATCAAATTTCCAGTTAAGTTTTCAATCTTGACAGTTTCTGCCTTAACTATGGTGATTTCTTCAGTTGATTTGGCATTTTTCCTGTCCCTGTTCTAAGTCTGTCATAGTTAATCTTCTTTCTTTAGTGCCTTATTCATGAAGCTTCATCAATTAGAAGCTTTCTGCTTCTGTCTCCCTTGATCCCTTTGCTATAGCATCAAATGAAATTTGGCATTGATCACTATCTAATTTGTGAATGAATTGACTGAGGAACTGCAATGATGTTTTTCTTTGTTGGGGTTGAGTGTGGAAGGGATATGATGGGGTGGAGGTGAGAGTGCTATCTGTGGGAGGTTCAATATTCATTTCAACCCACAAAAGTAATGTGATGACAATTGTTCAAATCTTTGGATGTGGACATACAACTTGATATTTGCATTGTAATCCTGTAGATATTTTAATTCGCTGCCCTGTCTCAGAAGTTTGAACTTCCAGTAGGCAATTGCCCTCCTCCCTGGGACCCTTTATGAATGTCTCTGATTCTAATTTAAAGTTTGGAGACTCTGGACAGTTCTGATGTACTCAGTATGGTAGCTAGCCAGAAACTCTTAGATTAAAATCTAATTTAACTCCTGGGTAATCACACAGGAATCTCACATACTGATGACCTCCCTCCCAAACAATCAGAGCCTCTGCTACCCATTTATCTCGCTCATGTGCTCACTATATCTGTTCACTTATTCATACGGTCACCATATCAGTAATGTTTAAACTGGACCTTTAAACTGACCATTTGGCAGCAAGTGCTGTAAAAGGGTGCATGTTCTGTCTTCTCTCCAAACACTACAGCTTTGGGATAGAGATCTTTGGACTCTTTTGGTCCATGTTTCTGAGAGAGTCTAGTTTGGAAGATCTAGCATTCTGATTTTGACCATTACGAAGTGAGAATTTCTGCAGAGGTTACAGATTATGGAGATGCTGTAGAGAACTTTACCAAGCTGTTTCAGTGAATCCTGTAGATGGCACCAATGCTGCAGCTGGTACTTTGGTGAGGGAGCAATTGAGCAGACTGCTTGAATTGGATTACTGATTTGAGTTTCTCAACGTTGCAAATGGAGAGTATTGCACTTTGGTTTTATCTTTGTGGAGAGGCTTCATTGAGTCTAACAGAACCACTCCCCATGGAAGATGACGATGTAAGAGCAAGATTGTGCCTTTCAACCATTTGACACTGTACCACCATTGATTGAGACCACTGCTGATCTGACTGAGGCTTGAGAGGCAGTTGTTACCTGTTTCCGCATAACTTTCAACTTCCATGTCAATTTAAAAATCCGCCTCACCTAAGCCTTGAATGTGTTCAATAACCCAGGCTCCGCTGCTCTCTGGGTGGAGAATTCCAAAGGTTATCAACCTGCTGACTGCATAAATTCCTCCTAAATTCTCTGTTAATTGGGAGATCCATTGGTTTTAAGCTCCGGTCTCCTGTTCATATTTCCTCTTGTACCCTGCCAAGACCCCCTTACCATCTTTATTTCAGTAAGATCATGGGGCATTCTTCTAAACTCTAATAATATAGGCCCAACCTGCAGAACCTTTCCTTCATCCTAGGAGTGAGCCTTGTGAATCTTCTCCAAACTGCCTCCAGCTCAGGTTTATTTGTTCTTCAGTAAAAGACTAAAACTGTACACAGTACTCCAGGTGTGCATTCTGTAGATTACTGTGCAAAGTGGTTGTGTTCTTGTTGGAGATGATCATTGCCTGGCAGCGAAATGGTGAAATGTCGCTTGCCATGTACTAGCTCAAAGCTTGTTATCCATGCCTCGCTATATGTGGGCAACGACTGCTTTCATAAGAGGAACGTTGAATGGAATTGCACTCTGCAAACGTAGAAATATATTTAACAAGTCAGCATTTCTAGAGAAAATCGGAAGAAATTAATAGTGAGCCCATGAACTGATTTTGTTAAGTTTCACCAGAGCTATCAAACTTTAGATCCCATCTTTTAAAGCATAAAAGTATTTTTAAGCTTTAGTTTAGCCAGCGAGACAAAGTTGCTATCTTGTCTCATCAAATTTCAACTAAACTTTGATCTACTGTCATGTTTATTTACAGTCATTAGATTTTATAGCTTCAGGCTGACAAAACAACTTAAACACCACAATGGATTCATGGTACGGCATCAATATAAATGACTTGTCGTATAAGGTAAAGTAAGCATCATAGATCCTCACTCATATACACATATATGCTTCACATATAGTTTAACTAGTTTTCAAATACTGCAACATTTGCACAATCTAGGGGGGGAACAGATTGGGAGACAGATTTTGGAAAGGTGCAGAAGTAATAGGGTTGTTGTCATGGGTGACTTTGACTTCCCTAATATAGACTGAAACCTCCTAAGTGCAAATAGTTTGGATGGAGCAGATTTTGTCAGGTGTGTCCAGGAAGGATTTCTGACTCTTATATGTAGATAGGCTGACTAGAGGGGAGGCAATATCGGATTTGGTGCTTGGCAACGAACCAGGTCAGGTGTCAGATCTCTCGGTGGGAAGGCATTTCGGTGATAGTGATCACAACACCCTGACCTTTACCATAGTCATGAAGCGGATAGCAGCAGATGGTATGGGAAAATATTTAATTGGGGGAGGGAGAATTACAGTGCTATTAGCGGCAAGAACTACGGAGCACCAATTGGGATCAGATGTTCTCGGGGAAATGCATG